CTGTGGCACACGTGCCATAGGTTCGCCACCACAGGTATAGACCATAGGTTCCCAGATTTTTGGTTCACGAAGCACTTAGTGTCTCAGTTGTTTTCATGACACCTCTAGGCCAGAACCCTGACTTATCTAAGGTAGTAGTTTCTGCAGTATTTGATAGATCTTGAGTATTGTATGTTTTCCCTGAAAATACAAAATATCCTGCAATGTCCCTGTGAACATATAGTTTAAAAACCACAGGGATAGACAATACAGGAAAGTTTACAGATCTCCTTTTTATTTCACACATTTTATTTATTTTCTCTGTTTGATCAACATGTTTGGCTTTTATTACCATTTTCTAAGAATTACAAGATTAAGATTTAATATTTATTTATGTATTTTGAACCACCCCAAACAGCATAAATTTTACCTGGTTTTCTTATGACTGTTCTTTTTGGTAGTAGTTTCTTTTTCACTTTTTTCTTTTTCTACTTTGTCTTTTTTGTCTTTTTTTGATTGTGTTGGGGGCACAAATTGCTGGGTAACTTGTTGTGCAACCAGCTGAGAGACAGGTCGAGGTTTCCTGTTTATACATATATAAGAAAGTTTCAATTAAGTAGCATTAGTATATGCAGTAATTTTTTACATTATTATTTTTACAAATTAATATTTGGATAAATAAATCTATACAACATCGACCTGTGAATATATTTAGAATTACTATTTTCCCTGCTCTCCTGTCTTGCTAGACCAGTGGTTCTTTCTAATGCCGCGACCCCATAATACAGTTCCCCATGTTGTGGTGACCCCCAACCACTTATACATCACCGGGTGCCAGGGGTGTGGCCAAAGAAAAGGGGGAAAAATGGCGGACAGCCTTGTTTGGCGACCCCCGTGAAATGGTCGTTCGACCCCAAATGGGGTCCCGACCCACAGGTTGAGAACCACTGTGCTAGACAGTATTTTCTAAATAATGCCCAATCATTGTTATGTCATTCTAGCTTGGAAAGTTGCATGACTTTCAATGGCACAATGAAATAGTGATTAGAATGCAGAGAACGAAGCCTGCAGATCTGATGTTTCTAACTGTCCAATCCTTCATAAGTACACATTTCTGATTTGACTGATATGAGCAAGCAATGTCTAGAATAATATGGTATATTTAACCATTGCTTTTCTTTTCAGTCCTGCTATAAATCTTTTTGTGTTAATAGAGTATATTCCCATGTTTGGAAATCTATTCCGAGGAAACTTCAGTTAACTCAATTAGTCTCTGTTTCTAAGCATAGAGATATAACTACTGACATTTCCAAGCAGACATATATGACTGCATACAATGCATTGTGAATCTCTAGTCATGCTTAAGAGTGAGAATAATTACTATTATTCATAAAAGAAAAGGAATCAAGGATATCCTAATTAAATTAGAACAATATTATATATTTTCTTACAAACTAGGTAGTAGCCCTTGGCCAAAGTTGGCTGATCTTGAAAAGTTGAGAATAAATTGAATCAGTAATAATTGTACCTGGATGAGAGAATATTAGGAAATTCCAAAGCAGTATTCAAGTGTAAGTTTTTAAAAAGTACAAAAAGAATTCAGTGGCAATTCTGTATTGTTGTCATGAAAACTAAATGAATATGTTTGTGAAGTCATTAATAATTGTACTTGACCAGGAAAAGATTTTATATTACATGATTTCTAGGCAAAATCTAGAAAAATAAATATCCGGTAACAATAAATACAAAAATTAAAATCCATTGCAACAAAGGAAATTACATAAGCAACAAAAATGAATATATACAGGAGATGGATCCCTTCACGTACCCAGGTCTGAATAATGATCCAGATCTACTAAACTTTACAAAAGGCCAGTAAGGTTGAGTCCATCCTGATATCCATAGGGAGAATATTTGAGGGAGGGGGGCACTATACCAGAAAAGACACATCTTCTGAGCCCCACCAACTAGCATCCTTAGCTGATGGAATCTGAAGCATGTCCATCCTGCAAGGGATGGTTCCTCAAGTAATCCAGTTCAAGGTCATGAAGGGCTTTAAACCATTACTTGAATTGTACTCTGAAGTACACTGGTAAGCAATTCAGCATACAAAATAGGGGTGTAGAATGCACCAAGTAACCAGTGCCATTTAAACTTGTGCTGCTGCATTCTGCAGCAGTTGAAGCTTCCAAATGCAATAACAGTCCCATGTTTAATCACAGTAATGATATTGATTCATTATATGTATTACAGAAAAGTAATATTTAGTTAAAATGCCCCCTCTACTCATCAGTAATACAATACAATTCATAAATGCAATTCACAATCAAGGCAGTTAAGAATGGATCAAGCCTAAAGATGTCAGCAGCCCCTTTGTTTAGAACAGCAACATTCCTGTCAGCTACAAAAAAATCCATTTATGCCAACTTTATATTCATTTCAATATCCAACAGGAGTCTTTAATTTTTATCCTCATAGGATAAGTATTCTGAAAAGAAGTGTACTAGAACTTGGGTCTCCCACTTTTAATTCACCACCATTGCTGCTACAACCCATTAACTCTCATCACTGGGATTGGGTTAGGGCACGGGTTGGCAACCTGTGGCTCTGGAGCCGCATGCAGCTCCCTGTCCTCAGCCACCATGTGCAATCTGAAAAAAAAAACTTCTCATGAAGTTTGAATTGATTGGTTGGTGGGACTGCCCACAAATCTCTTTCCTTCTTCGTACTGCACATGGTGGCCGGGAGGATTGCTGGGAAAGGTGTCCCTGGTAAGGAGCCACGGATAGCCGGTCTCGGGGTGCCTCTTTCCTGCCTGGCGGGTCTTCCCTCGCCCTGCTCCGCCGCCTCCTGTTAGTCGGGGGGTCGCTGGGGGTCTCTGTAACTTCCCCTCTCTGCCTGCACCTTTTGGCCATCTCACGTGCAGCAGATTTCCCTGCGGCATTTGCCTGGCCTTTTCCCCACCAGCTGCATGGTCCTCTTGGCCGTCCTCCTGCTGCCGCTGCTGCCGGTAGCGCTGAGCGAGCCTGAAGAGGCGGTGGTGAGTGGGCAGCCGTGCCCCTTCGCTGTCCTGCCGCCACCACCACCCTCGATTCTGCAGGAGTAGACCTTGGGCTGTGAGGGCGGTGGGGGCGGCGGGTCTGGACTTCCCTTCGTCCCCGCGGCGACATTCCCCATTGCTGGCACGGCCGCCCTTGGTGCACCTGGCCTTGGTGCCCTCGTCTTGCGACGGCGAAATGGCTGAGGATGTGGAGGGGGCGGCAGCCAGGCCGGGGTGGCGGGGACCCCCAACGATGCTGCAGTGGCCATCACTGGAGCCGCTGCCTCCCGTCCTTCTCTCCCTCCATGCCCGTTCAGCTGAGGTCGCGGCAGGGCGGCAGCCAGGCCGGGGGTGGCGGGGAATCCCGACAATGCTGCAGTGGCCGCCACCGGAGACGCAGCCTCCTGTCCTACTACCCCTCCCCGCCTGTTCGGCACCGTCTGCCTTTTGTTCTCTCTCTCTCTCCTCACCTGGAGAGAGAAAGAGAGAGAGAAAGAGAGAGAGGGAGGAAAGAGAGAAAGAGAGAAAGGAAAGAGAGAAAGAGGAAAGAGAGAGAGAGAGAAAGAGGAAAGAGAGAGAGAAAGAGAAAGGAAAGAGAAAGAGACAGAAGAGAGAGAGGAAAGAGAGAGAGGAAAGAGAGAAGAAAGAGGAAAGAGAAAGAGGGAGAGAAAGGGAGAGGAAAGAGAGAGAGAAAGAAAGGAAAAAGAGAGGGAGAGGAAAGAAAGGGGGAAAGAAAAAGAGGAAAGAGGGAAAGAGAGGAAAGAGAAAGCGAGAGAGGAAAGAGAAAGAAAGGGGGAGAGGAAAGAGAAAAAGGAAAGAAAAAGAGAGGAAAGAGGGAAGGAGAGGAAAGAGAAAGGAAAGAAAGGAAAGAGAGAGAGAGAGACCCTTTTGACATCTAAAATGAAGATAACACTGCATATATCCTTTTTACCTTTATTTTATATATACACAAACACATATACATACATACATACATACATACATACATATATATACACACACACACACACACAGTATAAAATAAATAACTTGTGACTACCAGGAGAATCCAAGTAAAAATACTTTAATAAAACCGAGCTTTCGTTGGAAACTTCCAATATTGTCAGGGTTAAAAGCCAGTTAACAAAGATGTCTTAAATAGGGTTAGCTAACGTTTGCACGCGGCTCCTAGACCGCATCATCGGTCCTAGCCGGTCAGTTAATATTCTAGTTATTTCCTTGACATCTGTGTTGCATTCTCCTCTATCGTTCCTTCGAATCTTTTCACTTGCTCTTTCAACGCTGGTTCCTAAGTTTGTCAACACCCTTATATCCTCCTCCCCTCTGGTAGTGTTCACTCTCGTTCCATCTTTCCCTTTACTGTGGGTCTTGGGGGGGTATTAGATTTTCTCTTGGTACTACCATCCGTCCCATTAGGGCTCAAAGTACTTCCTCCCCCTCCCTTCAGTTGTGGATCAATGTTCTCTCCCTGTTCTGTATTCCCCCTCCTCTTTCCCTTTCCCATAGGGGTAATGCTTGTCTGAATACTGTGTGATTTGGCACTTACACTGCCACCCCTCAACCCGACATTCTCTGCGTCAACCGTCTTCTGTTGTTCTGCCGATAATTGTTATTCTTATCTAAAACGGGCCTCCTTCGTCCTACCGGAGAGGGTTCCAGCTGTGGGTGGGGACACCCCGCCATCCGTGATTTTTTGCCCATCCACAGGATGAGAGGGAGAAATTCCTCTCCCCTCTATGTGGTGTGAGTGAGTCATCATGCCACACCTTCTCCCCCTCTGTATCAGGCATCCCTCTTTGTTGTCGCAAATAACATTAGACTCCGAGATTTCACTGCCAGATCCCCCAGATTCTCTATTGACACAACCATCGTTCCTCCTCCACCCGAAGGGTGGGGGTCTGTCAGGATGTTGTTGGGAGACACATAGATCATCTGCCCATCAGATTTCCCCCCCCTCCATCTTCCAGAGGGTGATCAGCTCCCAATAGGCATCTATCTGTGTCCAGCGCTAGCGAGCTCTTCAGCTGTTCGTCGGAGTAAAATTGCTGCCAGCTTGCAAAACTGAGGAGGCGGGGTTGTTCCTGATCTCCGATACGAATAAGCACACGGGACTTTAACCGATCCTCAACGATCTACAGATGCCTCCCTGGCACTTAACTGGCAGCAACAAAGAGGGATGCCTGATACGGAGGGGGAGAACCAGCGTTGAAAGAGCAACTGAAAAGATTCGAAGGAACGATAGAGGAGAATGCAACACAGATGTCAAGGAAATAACTAGAATATTAACTGACCAGCTAGGACCAATGACGCAGTCTAGGAGCTGCGTGCAAACGTTAGCTAACCCTATTTAAGACATCTTTGTTAACTGGCTTTTAACCCTGACGATGTTGGAAGTTTCCAACGAAAGCTCAGTTTTATTAAAGTATTTTTGCTTGGATTCTCCTGGTGGTCGCAAGTTATTTATTTTATACCATGGATATACCCAGTGTTTTGTTTTTGGTGGGAAACGTGTCCGTGGCTCTTTGAGTGTTTTGGGTTGCCTA